GGAGATGGCTCAGTGGAATAAGTGCTTCCCTGGCAAGCGCAAGGGCCTGAGTTCAATCCCCGGTTCTGCAAAAAAAAAAAAAAAAAAAAAAAAACTGCATGTCTGTGAGCTTTTCATGATGTAGTATTACAAAGCACTTAATAAGGTTCTTGGCCCTTAGTGAGGTTCCATAAATTATTTTTGAGTCATATGCTTGATTGTTTTAATTATTTTTTAATTAAGTTTATTGGTACAATTTACATGTACATAATGATCATATCCATCATGGGGAATTTGTACCTCTATACGATACACGATACACATATCCCTCCTTTTTGCCACAATGCCCTCTCCTCCCTTCAAGCCCCCTCACCCTCCTTATTTACAAAGCTTTGTTTCTATGTTGTCCTTCTTTTCTATTTTTCTTTTTCCTTCCTTCATGTCCCCCCCTCGTCCAACCCACCCCTTGTTTTTGAACAATTTCTTCTTATTTCACAATGTCCTTCTTTACACTTTGTTTCTTACACCAGAGGAAAAATGCTGTATTTACATATATGTAACTAATTTATTTCACTTAAAAGTAGGGTCTCAAGGTGCATCCATTTACCTAGAAATGTCTCCAGCTTATCTTTCTTCGTGGCTGAGTAGTACTTCATTGTGTTCTTTTAAAAAAAAAAAACAAAAAAACCATCTTTTAATCCATTTTCTGGTTGATGGACATCTGGGTTATTTCCAAGGGTTAGCTATTAGAAAATGTGCTACTATAAACATGGGTGTGCATAAATTATTGTGGTGTGAATTTTTTCAGGTTTTTTCTTTCTTTTTTTTTTTTTTTTTGTGGTACTGAGGATTGAACTCTGGACCTTGTTCTTGCCAGGCAGGCACTTAAGCCGCTGAGCTATCTCTCCAGCCCCCGGTGTGATGTTTTTAATTCTTCTGGGAACATGAGGGGACCTCTAATCCTAGATTTTTGAGGACTCTTCCCCACTGATTTTCACAGTGGTTGACCAGTCTACTCTCCCGCCAACAGTGCAGGAATGTTCCTTTTTCCCCACATCCACTCCAGCATTTGTTATTGGCTAGTGTCTTGATAACAGCCATTCTTTCTGGCATGAGATGGAGGCTCCATGTTGTACTAATTTGTCTTTCTTGAATGACCAATGATACTGAACATTGTTTCATGTATTTATTGGTCATTTTTACTTCTTCCTCTGAGAAATGTGTATTTATTTCAGAGGCTAATTTTTGCACTGGGTCTTTAAATTTGGGAGTTCTAGGGCCAGCAAGATAGCTCAGCAGAATAAAGCACCTGCTTTGGCAGATGCAGAGACCAGGGTTTGATCCCCAGTATGCCATGCTAGCCCCAACCCTGGGGCACGCTGAGACAGTGATTGAGACTTGGGCATGGCGGTGTGTGTCTGTAATCCCAGTGCTTGTGGGCTGAAAACAGGAGAATCACTATGAGTCTGATCTGTGTAGGGAGACCCTGTAGACCTTGTACTAAATACATTTTAAAAAATAAATTGGGAGGGTTCTGATTTTTTTCTTGAACTCTTATATTTTCTTTTTTTTACATTTTATTTATTTGTGTGTGTGTGTGTGTGTGTGTGTGTGTGTG